CCAGGAATGAACTCTGCTTCCTTTCCCTCCAGTAGCTCGGTGATCCTTTTTGGTAGAAAAACGACTTTGCTGTCCAACTCCACCAAGACGCTCCTTCCAAATTTCCTATTGACGATGCGTAGTGACAGGATAGGTTGAGCCGTATCAACAGGAAGATCAGATAACTTGACTGTTTCCTTGGCAGACAATGAAGCAGAGTTCCCAGGTAGCACATGACGACTATATGACGTCTAATTGACGGCATCACATTCGGCCAAAAGACGTCTTTATTTTAACAAATGCGACGTCGAAATGACGTAAGTAAGACACATCCAAATGACGTCATATTTGAAAGTCTTTTAGACGTCAGTATGTGTTTTGAAATTGGACCTTAAACTGACCCTACTGACCAATTTCCGACGTCAATAAGACGTCTGTTTTTTTTATAAAATTTTGGGGTTAATGGTTATAATCTGGTGAGGAAGGTAATCATCATTTGTGCTATAAAATAAATTTGCTACGAATGAAGATTTTATTAACAAGATAGTAATGTAAGGTATTACATATAGTTGAAAATTTCACAGAGAGCTCTTTTGTATGTTATGCTGTCTTCAGATGGCGGCCAAAACACTTCCTTTTTCAACGGCGTCAGCCAAGTTTCGTGAACAACAGCTACACTGTTGCTTCCACTGTCATCAAATTGTATTACACAATACATCCTGAATACTTTCACGTGAAAAACACACTGTATAGAAATACCACTCAAACACTCAACATTTTAACATTCTTAACAAATCCAATGGCACAGACGCCGTTCACAAACAACACCCATTCGGACATGGACGATAACGGGAACGCACCATGCACGATGCAAGCTTGACGCTGAACCACAGACCGGACCGCTGAACGCCACTAACGGCAGTCGCGAGATGGTCGCGAGTCGCATACACAATCTCTTCGCGTGATTACTTGATCGCCATTGGCTATCTGGTCGGTAATGTGAGAATTGTCTTTGGCGCTAAATTTAAACATTGAAAATCAAGGTAAGCCTATGGAATAAAATACATTTTTATTATACATTTATTCAGTTATTTGGAAAGATTAATTGATTTATTTCATAACTTCGTTTTCCTATACATACATAATAATAATAATAATGATAATAATAATAATGATACTACTAATAATAATAATAATAATAATTCGCACGATTCTGCGTGACGTCGGAGGCCGCAGGGTCGTGACTGGAATTATTTGAACTCAAATAATAATAATAATAATAGTAATGATAATAATGATAATGACAATGATAATAATACCCAAAAAAATATGAAGACCATAAATTGACGTCTATACGACGTCAAACAGTGGCTGTCCATAAGACGTCACATTAATGACGTCCGCACGACGTCATAATTTGGTCAAAAGACGTATGAGACCAAAAAAGACCTTAGATAGCGGTCCTATAGACGTCACATTCGTCAGTCTGGCTACCTGGGTTGTTTATTTCTGTAAGATCCATCTAGAATTAGAACACAATATTGTTGTTTCTCAAAATCAGAAATTATGGTTTTTTCAAAACAACAGTTTCACATTGAAATAACTCACCTTGAGGTTGTATGTGGTGCGAGGTACAAGATTTCGATATGGAATGATTTTTCTGCTTAGGCTGCAATTCCTTTATACTGCTAGCTGTTCCGTTCTCCAACTTGTTGGCATTGTACATTCACCATACTTTCTAAATATTCCCCACAATAATGATGCAATTGAGGCGCGTTCCCTTCTGATTATTGCCTTGAACGTTCACCATACACTCCTTCCCATTTCAACATACATTCATAACTACATCAATTCTGACATCCAAACGCCAATCGTGTTTCTGAATAAAGAATTATATCTATACTCACACATTCCATATTTGATACAATCTTTCTTGCATAATAAACAATGTAGATGTCCTCTAATATGAATATGAACTTTGTTACATCGAATTATTTCAAAGTTTTCTTGCATTCTCCTCACAACCCCATCTTCTTCATAACATCTTCTACACAATATAAACCACTTCTTATCCACATAACCATAAAACTGATAATATTTATTGCAACTTGAATAATCAGTCACACAAGTATTATTAATCAAATGATTTTCTAGTGGAGATGCAGGTTGAGGAATATCATACCTTGCACCATATGTTTCATAAGTCACCCTCACATTCGCTTCTTCATCACTCTCTACTTCCTCCACATTCATGATTTCATCCTGACATTCAATCTCATTCCTCACACATCTATATTCATCAATGAAATCAACGGGAACATCTCCTTGAGATGAGGTGCTCACATCATTCACTTGTACTTAGGCCATCTTCAATTGAATCTAACTGCCAACTGGAATAAATCAGTGCTTTTTATACAGAATATCCACTCTCTGAATCATACTCACCTATGATGATGACACGTGACAGTCCTTCCATGAAAAAAATTCCATCAAAGAATGTTCATTTTTGATCAAACCATAGTCCGAAATGGTTGTGCTAAAGACTTGTTTTATCATTTTGAGTTTCATCCAGCAAAATGTTTTATATATTTCAAGACAATCCAATTTCAAGGAAGTTTTCATATCATTTGATAACAATGGCATAAAAAATGATAGTT